GAACCTCCATTGCTCTCTGTCCTCAAACAATGAGGCTGGTTTATCTTGAAAGATGCAGTGCTGGTTTTGAGAGCCACGTGGGTTTGACCAGGTTGACGATTTGCCGCGCTACTTATTAGGCCATCTCTTTTCCTGTCCCTCTGTATCTCGTGGCTATCGCCCATCTTGGCCCAGAAACCTTTTGCCTCATTTGCTCACAAAGGAGCTCATTGATTATGGAGCTGTAAGATTTAGGATTATACAGGCAGTTTTCCTCTTGGCTGTCGCCCAGGTGAAAACAAGAAAAGAATTTGTGTGAAGTTACTTTTCTGTAGGGGTCAAATCTTCTACAGAACTTTTCTTCTGTGGCTTCACTTTTTTAAATGGGGTGTGTGTGTGTGTGTGGGGGGGGGGGGGTTAGTGTAATCTGAATTCAGGAGAAGGGCTGAATCTGTTTGTTTTTTGTATTGCAGCAATTTCCTTACATTCGTCCTGATTCCTTTGGAGCATTATGGCTAATTCCTAAGATGCTAGACCAATAGATCCTGCCCTCCGTATCGCCACCCGTCCCCTTTCCTTGAATCCAAACTCCTTCCATGGGCAGCCTCCAGCCCGTGCTTCTCTCTTGGACTCTGGCAACATCCTCCGGTGTCCCTTGCAAGCTGGCCCGCATTTGGGGGTGTCGGTCCCCTCTGCAGTGGGATGAGGACAGTTTTCATCTCCTCTTTAACCCATCCTGGGAGGGAGGTGAGGGCTGCATGCGGAGGAGGAGCTGCAGAGCGTCAGCTGTTCTGGCCGCAGTCAATGGCCATGGGACTAACGGGAAGTTCTGTCTCCGTCCAGTCTGTTCCCTTTGACCCCCTGGGCCAGTGCCCTGGGCTCAGCCTGGCAGGGTGTGGGAATGTTTTGACCACGGAACGATAGCTGAGCCCCATCCTGGCTCGGCCGCCCACATGGCTTCTGTGGCTTTCTCTTGTATCCATAAATCATTTTTTAATGTGATTAAAATAAATGCCGATTAGGGTAGCATGAGCATATTCCAGGAACTTACAGGCCTGCCGGGGAGGGAGCGAGGGAGGCAGATTTCAGCTGTTCTGCAGAAATAAAAGCTGATCGGATCAGCGGTATTAGCATAAGCCTTTGTGCCAGGAGCAGAGGAGATCATTAGAGCTGGAGACGAGTGCTGGGGAGCAGGCGGGGGGGATTATGGATAACGGGACATTGCCTCGTTTGATCTCATGTGGGGCATCTCAAGAATGTCCGAGGAATCTAATTTGGGCAGCCTGGATCCAGGCCAGCCTTCTGACCGGATCAGTCCCTGCTTCAGGGAGTGGGTGTGTGAGAAGAGTTAGGACTATGATCCCCCCTCCCTCCCATGGGTTCAGTGTACAGCTGGATCTCTGGCACTGGGACTACAGATGCCCAAGGGCTGTTGCTGGAACCTGATCGGAGGTGAGCGCAGGTGGTCTCCTTCCTGTTTTTAAGGCAATGGGCCTTTGTCTAATTCCCTTGTCTAATGCTTCGGAGATGCTATGTATCCACCAGGTTCTGAGTGTGGTAAAGAAGCCGGCTGCCAGTGCCCATGTGTGACTCCTGGCAAGCAGCTTGCGTTGATGTCCACAAGCACCCTACATCCTGCCCCAGAACTGGATGGACTCTGAGAAACTAGGACTCTGCCACTTTTTGGGGGGCAGGTGCTGGATACCAGACCACAGCCAGGAGGCCGCTGGCTTTGTAGCGCGTGTTCTTGAAGGCATCTCGTGGAAGAGATCTCTGATGGTCTTGTACTTCTAGCTGTGGGACAACAGACCAGGAGGCGGGTGGGGAAGGGGCAGCTGACTCGGCCCTGCCTCCGTTTTTAACAGGACTGCTGCTAAGCTTGGCCTGTGGGGTAGGTCAGGGCTTCGGTGCAAGGCTTGTAGTTGGACAACGGGGGGGGGCTGCAGCATTTCTGTCCCTTCCCCACTATCCCCAGCACCAAATGATACGCTCAACAAGTGATGGGGCCGTATAGCTCTAGCTCCATTGCACCGGAGAAGGTCTCAAGGAGGTGCCCATTGCAGCTGTCCCTCCATGCCTGTGACTGAGAGGGGGCTTCAGCCAAACAGTGAGGTCAGGTGCATGCAATCACCCTGCGACTCTCTTGTGGGTGGCCCAGTGCAGAGGGGACTGATGGCTTGTTCTGCCTAGCAAGTTCCTAGCCCTCTAGCCAAGGGGTTAAACAGAGTCCTGTGTCTCGCGTCAGAGCACTGATAAGATCCATCAGCGAGATTAAATGAGTTTGGGAGGAATAACTGGTTCCTAATCTCTGGTTTTAATAAGCCTGGTTGAGAAATCCTAGCTCCAGAGCGCTTTACAAACCACAGAGATGCAGCAGCTCCTTCCCCAGGCCTGAAATGCAACCACCTCTGGAGTGGAGCACTAGAGCTGGCGCACAGTGACATGACAGGTGTTTAGGCCTGGAAGTGACCTACTGTGACTGCTGGGGAAATGCATTCACCCTGGTAATCCCCATATTCGGAGGGCACAGGGCAGGGGATTCTGCTCGGCCACAGAGTGGGTCAGGGCCTTGCATCAGGTCACATTTATTTTTGTGCAAATGTCTTAATTTCTCAAGTGCTCTAAACAAAACTATAGCTGTGGATCCATAGGTCCTATGGGACACGCCCCCAACCTGCAGGCTGGAGCCTTGGTGGGGAAGTGCGGAGGGCAACCGGAGTCTGATGCCCCCTGCAGCTCTGTTACCCTCTGGGCTATTGGGGGGTGGAGGAGAGAAGAGACCCTTGCAGATTCTTTGCTTCATCAGGCAGACTGAACAAGCCCTGGCTTTAAGCTGTAGGCAGCCTGGCAAGCAGTGACGCTTGTCCAGCACTGGGAGGGTGTTGCGACAGCTTGTTTGACAGTCCAATCTGGAAATGACCTTGTCTCTTGTTTAAAGTTCTGAAGCTCAGCGGCACGAAGAGAATCTACCCAGTGTCCTGGCCTGCACCCAGGCCTCTGATCTGCATAGCACAAGCTGTCAAAGCCGCTCTCCCTTCCCCAGGTCTCCTATATGTACGGACGCGGCATGTAACATCCGGACACGATCAGCTTGGCATAGGTTATCGCGAGCCGTCCGCTGCCGTGGTTTGGTGAGAGCAACTCTCTGCCACCTTGCAAAGGGCCCCTGTGAATCTTGCAAGAAAGATGGCCTGATAGGAGCGGGGGGGCTGAGCTGCTCCCAGGAGATTTATCACAGGCTGTGATTTTTAAAGGCTTTCCAGAGATAATGGCCTCACAATGCAATTGCACCTGTTTGGAACAGCCGTGTGCCTCAGGAAATGCTTCAAGGCCTGGGCTTTAAATGATCAGATTCTTAGCAGGGCCGTGTCCCTTTTTAAGACACCGATTCCTTGGCTATTTGTGCTGCCTCCCCCTCTCTGCTTCTTCTTCAGCTTGGGTGAGTGGGGGGGGGGATGAGCTAGCCCTCCCCCCCCCCCCCACCCCCCGATCTCATGCACCAGCACAGTGCTGTGATGTTTGGCTCGCTCGCTGCCACAGGATGTTTTTCCTTTGAAATCGCTCTTTAAATCATCTCCTTCGAGGATTTTTGTCCATCTGGAGCTTTTTATTGGTGTGGGTTTTTTACAAAATCTGAATTGGGACCAAGGTCACCCTGCTGCTAGCGTCCTTGCAAAGCCGCACAAAGCGTTCTGCCCTCTCGTTCTGGGCAGCCCTCCTGGTCCCGGGCTCCACGGGCCAGAGAAGGGTCGGCGTTCCCCTAGGCTGAAAGTGCTGTTGAGGCAAAGCACGTTCCCATGCGCCAGTGCCATCCCGTGCTGGGGAGACGTGGTGGCTCAGGTGACCAGGATGTGGGCACTTGGGGGCTGTGATGGGAAGAGGAAATGGGGGAATATTATCTCGGCTTTCTAAGGAGCTCTGCTCTAGTATTTGCTTGTAACTCAGCCGGCGTGCTGGCACATCCTCCCCTCTCATTTGTATTTACCTTGTTACAAGCCGCCTGTCCCCAGAGCAGGAGCAAGGTCACAGGGGAGGGGCTGTGGAAGAAACGTCCTGACCATGGCAAGAGTTGGTGCCAACACCTGCAGCATGGGCGGTGCTGGGTGGTTTCCGAGGTGACTCTCTCCTCTCACCTTGTGCAGCAGAGCTAGAGGGGAGTTCTTGGGGAAACTTGGCAGGGACCCCCGTAAAGAGAGCGGCCCACGTCTGATGGGGAATCGCAGATGATACCGTCTCTCCAGGAAGTCCTGCTCCTGGTGCAGTGCTCCCCCATCCCAAGCTCTCTGTGCTGCTCCAGCCCTGTCCAGAGGGGGGTGGGCAGGGCGGCCGGGAGGAGCAGAGCTTCTCCGTGCCAGCTCTGGGTAGACAGATGCACAGGGGGTGCTGTAGGCAGGGCTCCGGGGTCTGTGTTTCCGGGCCCCCCTGGGCCTGGAGCCCTGTTTGGAGGGGCCACAGCTGCTATTCCAGCCCCTAAGATGGGGCTGGGGGTTGGCTGGTGAAGTGATGTGCAGACCACAGAGGGAGAGCAAGGGCCCTGCCCTCAAAGGGATGGGGACGGGCTGCGTTCTGCACACACAGTCACTCACTTGGTCGCTACGCAGGGAAGGATGAACTCTGCCGTGGGGACAGTGGCCATCCCGTGGAGACGCCAGACCAGAGATCTGCCCCAAGAGCAGCCGGGGGCAAGGTCTGGGCCCTGAGCCAGGCATTGCCTCTCCTCCTGCCCCCAGGAGCTCGGCCCTGGGGCCTGGCAGACCAAGCCTCATCGCTGATGGCAGAACTGAGGGGGGACAATCTGCCTCTGAAATGACTCCGGGCTCAGTGGCTCTAGCTATGGTCTGAGCACAGCGTGGCCTGTGAAATGAAGCAGAGAGCCGGGGCGGGAGTGGGACAGGGGGATACGGGGGGGGATATGGTCTCCGCCCTGCATGGCGGCGGAGTTGGAGAGCCATTGGGTTAGGCCTTGCGGGAACTGTGGACCGCGGCAGCGGGCAGCCAGCGCTGATGCTGTTTTTCTGTCGCAGGTAGCGGGAGGGTTGGGGGCTTGCACGGAGAGCTGCGGGAGTGAGCCGGCGGGCGGCTGAATGGCTAGAGGAGCCACCTGAGGAGGTGAGTGAGTCCGGCTGGGGCTGCTGGCTCCCCCTTCTCCCCACTTTGATTCGTTTTGGCTCCAGTTCACATGCTCCGTGTTTAAACACATGCCCCGATGCAGGTGCCCTCCTGCCCAGGGAAGCTGTGATTGGTTGCTTTGATCTTGGTAAAGTGGGTCCAAGCAAACCCCATGCATGTTGATATGCCTAATATAAACGTGTACATGTAGGAACAAAGAATGTAGGTCATGCTTACACAGTGAGCAATTCTATCCTGGGAAGCAGGGACTTGGGGGGTGTGGTGGATAATCAGCTGAACGTGGGCTCCGAGTGCGACACTGTGGCCAAAGAGGCTAATGCGATCCTGGGATGTATAAACGGGAATTCTGAGTGAGTACAGAAATGATTTTACCTCTGTATTTGGCACTGGTGCGATCGCTGCTGGAGTGCTGTGTCCAGTTCTGGTGCCCACAATTCAAGAAGGATGTTGATAAATTGGAGAGGGGTCAGAGAAGAGCCACAAGAACGATTAAAGGATTAGAAAATCTGTCTTATATGATAGATTAAGCTCCCTGAGTCTGCTTAGCTTAACAGAGATGGTTAAGGGATGCCTTGATTATAATCTACATGGGGAGCAAATATTTAATAATGGCCTCGTCAGTCTAGCAGATGAAGGTCTAACACAATCCAAAGGCTGGAAGTTGAAGCTAGACAAATTCAGACTGGAAAGAAGGTGTAATTTTTTAATAGCGAGAGCAATTAACCACTGGAACGATTAGCCAAGGGGCATGGGAGATTCTCCATCACTGACACTAGCTATATCAAGCGTTGATGTTTTTCTAAACGCTATGCTCTAGGAGTGATTGTGGGCAGGTCTCTGGCCTGTGTTATGCTGGAGGTCAGGCTAGGTGAGCACAATGAATAAGCCACTTGCATTGGTATTTTCAGAGGCTCATTACTGTCGCATGGGCTCTTCTGAGGCGATGGGTAATGGGGATAC